TATAACATATTGCAAGATTCTGGATTAAAATTTATTATTTAAAGTTGAAACGTGCTTATAATGTTTTGATTCGGATACACATCTTCCGCAAATTGAATTTGATCTGAATAACTGCGTCACGTTCATCATTAGATGACTCGAAACAGCGGATCGATCTTGGAAATTCCTGGTCATATACCATATAATTGTTTGCAGCATTCGAAGAAAAAATATCTCAAATAAAAACGAACATAATTACACGGTATCACCTTTTATCACTGTTTAACAACATATATGTAAATCTAACGTTTCAAACGTAATACACTCGTCGTGAGAAGTAAGTGAACAGCTTTGCAAATGGAAAAACTTTTTTCGAATTGGTCCAAATGACTCGAATTTATTTTTAGATAGTAGAGAGACTAGTCTACTAGACAGTGTCCATAATACTTTTTTTTTGTTAAATTTGCTATTAGTTGAAATGATAAAAATTATTACAGTACAAATATTGTGCAAAGAATTCTTAAGATAGATTTTTTAAACATTAATATCGATTTGATTGCAGTTGACGGTAATAGTAAGATTCTGAATACAATTTTTGTAACAGACTTCTAAGAATATCGCCTTGTAATTCCTGTTGTAGGTATCTAATGTTAATAATAACACGAGCGTACAAACAAAACAATTTTTAATGCTGGTGTAATAACTTGTTTACCTCCTGAAGAAATGATTGAAAAAGAATATCAATTTCCCTTTGTTGAAATAAATCCTGTTATTATTGTTGTTATTCGCGAAGCTAAAGACGCGCAATCATGATTATTGTTTTCTTCTCTTTTCTACGCAAGTTGTTCGTCGTTCAAGTATTATGATTGCAATCAGGAAGCACCTTAAAAAGACGATTAGTAAGATATCCTTAGATATTAGAAATGGACACGTAGAATTTGAAATGCACTTTGTAGATCTCGATAGTTAATATGCATGCTGAAAATTTCATCCTTATATATTTTATACTTTGTATAGATATCTGTACGTTTATATAAAGTGCATTGTATTTTCGCAAAGCTGTTTGCACAGTTAATTAAAATTAATGAACCATAAGGTATAAGGTATTATATTTTTGTATAAGAATTAGTTGCCATCTCAAGATATTTTTCTTTCTCTTCATGACTCAATCCATTACATAAACGTCTATCATCAATTGATTTGCGGAAGCATTCGCAAGAAACCGAGAAGGAACTTTATGTTCTTTTAACTTCTACCTCGAAAGGTCTCCGTTGCTCAAAAGTCGTAATTTCCCGACGTATAGTTTTCATATAAGACACACCGACATGAATGACCGCAATGACACCAGGGGAGGTCACTGCAGTGACCTTGAACTCGACTTGTGAAGGTATATGGTTGGATTTACGTGTAGCATTGCGTGACTCACTGCAAAACATAAGTTTCTAAAGAAAGGACTTTCTGCCAGTGTTATGATGACTGCAGCATTATTTTCACATGTTTTATCAACTGCCCCCATGCTTTATATCGGGACTATAATTAATCTTGCTAAAGTCTGCTTTCACATTGCTTTGTACATGTATTGACTTTTTTTTAAGGAGAATTCAACAAATTAATATTTAATTTTTACTGTTACTATCATTTAATTTGATATTCATTGTGTTTCGATATTTTTATTTACTTTGTTCTCATACGATCTTCGTTTTAAAGATGTTCACTTTTAGTATGAAACAATAGTATGTTTTTATCCCAGTTAACCATAAAGAGGATACAAGTATGAAAAATTTCATGAAATTTGTTAATTTCGTGGTCTAAAAACATTCTGAGGGCACAGGAATGTTCAAGAGATTCTTTTACGTCTATATTACGCAAAAAACATTTATTTATTGTTGAAAATAAGGAAAGCCCATGATTCTTACCGCTGGTGCCATAAGATATAATGTCATATCCGGCACGAATTATATGTATTTTTTAAATGTAAAAATAGCGCCATTGCCCATAGTGACAAGACGCTCAAACTATTCGTCAGAATCGACTGTTGGTAATTTTGTCTACATTTTTACTAAAAACATTAATGAAAATGTTTATTATTTAAAATTCTTAAGTCTGTGCATCGAAAACACTAATTTATCTATATCGTATTATAAGGTTTAATATTTATTTGTTGTTAATTAAATATTCATATTTCAAGTTTACATTTTGCAATTAAAGTTTTTCAATGTATAATATCGTTGTTTATATTAGTTATTTATGATTAAATTCCCACTTTATAATTATTGATAACGGTTTTAGATAAAATTACCAACCGCTGATTTTAGCGAACAGATTCAGTATTTTGCCACTACTTGCAATGGCGCTATTTTTATATTTTAAAAAATCGATGACTCGTACCAGATTTGATGTTATACCTTATGGCATTAGCGGTAAGAATCATGCGCTCTCTTCATTTTCAACGATAAATAAGCGTTTTTTTTCATAATATAGATGCAGAAGAATCTCTTGAACATTTCTGTGTCCTCGGATTCTTCTTTAACTGTGCAATGTATCTGTTAAAAGAGCTTCAAACACATGTGCTCAAACCTTTCGTAAACTACTAACAGTTATCATATTTTATTCTTTGTATTGTGAAATTCTAAAACATCAATAGATTAATTGATTCATTTCGTATGTAACGCTAATATATTTGTTTTTTCGTTTATAATCTAAACTGATTACTTTATCTTCATGTACAATAATAAGGACTTGAGTTTGGCGGCTTATAAATACGTCGATAAGGCTATACGTTCACGTGATCCGAATGTATCCGAAAATGCACGAACCTACATAGCGACTACGGCGCATACACCGAAACGAACGCCTGTTATATTACCGTTTTCTGCCCTTCAAATGACACTATTTCTGTGGTAATCGCAGCGTGTGGTTCGTTTTTCACGTAAGTATCATGAATTTTCGGCTTCACTCTAACTGACCTTATTTGCATTTTATTTGGGGGCTCGCACATTCTCGCCGGGTCTACGTGCTTAATTTTATTAAATTGATACATCTATCTGCCGGTCTTTTTATCAGTGTCGTCACCATTAAAGAACAAAGCAGGAATGGTGCTGCTTTCCGGTATAATATCTGGAATTACGTAGCATGTGCATGTATATTATATTTATGCCGGCTGAAGTGACGTCAGTGAAAATAGTTATCAAACTCGGATAATATATAGACAGATCTAATATTTGTCAATGAATTTTCGCGAAAACGTGGCTCGGCAAATGGAAACCATGTCTGAAATTGTTTCCAGGCCGGATTCATCTGCCGTGCAGAAAGATTCACTTCATCCTGTCTGTCATAGTTTCCTGGATTACAAAATATGTTACACTAATTACTGTTACAAATACAAACACATTTTCTACTTAATTTATAATATTCCCGAACTATTAATAAATAAAATCTCGAAGTTTGTATCACTTGTTTAGATACCTGAGATTATTGATTGGTATGTTCCTATTAATGTTATAAAAAGGACAATGTCAAAATTAAAGGTTTTACTGTGTATTGTCAGCTAGGAGTTGGTAATTCCGCGAGCTACTTTCGGCGTGCGGTTTCCATTTTGTAGCTCAGAAGTACAAACCAGTTTTGTCTCAAATTAGTTTCTATAAGAAAGCAGTTTCGTTTTGTAGTTAAGTATTCATTATAATAAACAAATGTTTAATCTGAGAAAATCTAAATGTGGAGATTAGGATTACTGCAACATATACGTAGCTTATCGTGCGGCTGTCATTTGTATCGGTCAATGTTACGTCATATTACCTATATTTGAGATTTGCATGCACCTGCACCTTTTAATAAATACTAAATATAATTTGTTCTAAATTAATAATTTCACAAATCGAAATCGTTTCGTGACGTACGCAAACGTGCAGAAGGTCACGTCCAACCTTGAGGACAAGTTCAGAGACGCTATCGACTAGACTTTCTGACCTTGAATGACCTTCTAAATATGAATCTCTCAATAGTAACGAATTCCATGCATCTTTTGCGAGGTATTAAAATGAAATTTCAATAAATTTAGCATCTTCGTAACTAACTGCAATTGGCATAGTGTTTATGACCCATTGCAACAAAACACAACCATACATAATTATATTAATGTATGTTCAACGAATAAAAAATATTATCGCGCGCATACCAATTACAAATATGTTCCTGCATTCATTTTTGCATTAGTGCATAAAACATCAACGCAGTACACTTTACAAATGTGAAATAAATCGAAAAAAACTAACCTTATTTAAATAAAACATCGTTTGCTATGAAATCAACCTTGGTATTTTTGTGCCGGTCATTCTTATTAAGAGCACAGAAACTTATTTATCAGAACCAATACCTATCTGCTGATTTTAGAGTTCGGTATCCAAAATTATCTGCTTTATTTTCCAGTTGTTCAGAAAGCACCATGAGTAAAATTGGAATTAACGGATTTGGCCGTATTGGCCGTCTTGTGCTGAGAGCTTCCATCGAACGCGGGGCTCAGGTATTTAGAAAAAATACATTTAGGAAATAATCTTTTATTTCATAAATTTTTGCTAACCTAATTATTAATTGTTGCAAATACGATAGGTTGTGGCCATTAACGATCCGTTCATTGGTCTGGACTACATGGTGTACATGTTCAAATATGACTCCACCCATGGTAAATTCAAGGGAGAAATCAAAGCTGAAGGTGGTTGCTTAGTTGTTAACGGCAATAAAATTGCCGTATACAGTGAACGCGAACCAAAAGCCATTCCATGGGGAAAAGCTGGTGCTGAATATGTTGTTGAGTCCACTGGTGTCTTCACGACCATAGACAAAGCTTCGGTATGTAGAAACATATGTATTTCGAAGTTATATCAGGGAATTGCTTAAATAAACTGTTTTATTTATATTTTTATAGGCTCACTTGGAAGGTGGTGCCAAGAAGGTCATCATTTCTGCACCATCAGCTGATGCACCTATGTTTGTTGTTGGTGTTAACTTGGAAGCTTATGACCCATCTGCCAAGGTCATTTCCAATGCCTCTTGCACCACCAACTGTTTGGCTCCTCTTGCTAAGGTCATTCATGACAACTTCGAAATTGTTGAAGGTCTTATGACTACTGTCCATGCTATCACTGCTACCCAAAAAACTGTTGATGGACCATCTGGCAAGGTATATCAAATTTTGTTATATTATTTCCTTTCAGTACTAATATCATTAGTTTTATTATATTACAATTTTTTAAATCATTTAACAGTTGTGGCGAGATGGACGTGGTGCTGCACAAAATATTATTCCCGCTGCAACTGGTGCAGCTAAAGCTGTTGGCAAAGTCATTCCAGCCTTGAACGGAAAGCTGACCGGTATGGCTTTCCGTGTACCAGTGCACAATGTGTCCGTTGTTGATTTAACAGTCAGACTCGCCAAACCCGCCTCCTACGACGCCATCAAGGCTAAGGTCAAGGAGGCCGCCGAAGGTCCCATGAAGGGTATCCTTGGTTACACAGAAGATGAAGTAGTTTCATCTGACTTCATTGGTGATAACCACTCCAGTATTTTCGATGCTAAAGCTGGTATTTCGTTGAACGATAACTTCGTTAAACTTATTTCGTGGTACGACAACGAATACGGTTACTCCAACCGTGTAGTCGACTTGATCAAGTACATTCAAACGAAAGATAACTAAGTCGATTTTCGTATGCCCACATCTGTAATACTTTCAAAAGTGTTTCTGTATGATTTGTATCATGCGAGCATATCGTTGTTGTATGAATAATACAGATTAAATGACGTTATGACTAGCCATTAGCGTTTTCAAGCAGAAATTGAAAATGTAAAACAAAACGGTATTTTAGCATACATTTCTTTTTACACAAGAAATACAATTTAACCATCAAAATCAAGCACACAATAAAATTGACTTTGAAGTCGAAAATATTGGGTAATTCGAATTTCCGATTAGTATTTGCGGACCCATCCACCAATAACATAAAGATATAAATGCACATATAATATGCATGCATGAAAAGTATAGAGATCAGTATGTAACTTGAGTTATTGTATTCTTGTGCCGTATTACTTAGATAATGTATGTTAATTTTGAACGATTTTTATCAGTCATTCATTCAACATTCGCAAGAAGGATATCAAATTATTTACGATTTCTTTCTGTAACATTAATATCTATCATTCATTGACACCAATAAAAATTGTTATGAAACTAAGAGGTTGTTTATTCTCCAGATATTCACTTTTCTGTATATAGTTACATTTTTACAGGATTACACTAATAAAGGGAACGAGTAAATAACGATTTCATATAACTTTTACATAATGCCTATGCGCTTACAAAAAGATTTTTTTTTTATAGTTCTTGAATGAAACATTTATCTTTAGCGTTTAACCAGAGGACAGTGTTATTTTTTTTTTAGCCAACGATCGGTGGCTATAATATTAATAATAAAATATCGTATTGTATGGCACAAGGAATTTGTTACAGTAACTTCTGCTAGCAACACTAAATCAGTACCGGTTACAATGAACTGTCAAATAACAATAGGTTCATAAACATTGTAGACGCAAAACATTTATATGATCCTCGTAGGCAATATAGTGAATCCTATAGTGTGACATTTCATATTAAAATCCGAAGTGATACATTAAATAATATGTAAAGTGAAACAAAATTAGAACAACAAATTGAGTTAGGATATTAACATTTTTTCAAAGTATATTTATTCTCTGAATGTTCTGTTCCTGCAGACTTCATTTTCTCTCATTCCTTGCTCTAAACTCTATTGACTATATACAATTACTATCACGAAACGAAATACGTTGTAACACTTTTTTTTCAGGAATACCGATTCTCAACTATAGCCATGCTGTGAAAAATTTGATTGTACAGTGTTACGAAAATACAGTTTCATTTTGTTATCGTAAACAATAAACATCTATCGCTCATTTTTTACAATATGTTTCTATAATAATTTTGCAGTTTACAATAACCACCAAGCGTTCACCACTGCTCGATGTAAACATTCAACTTTTAAAAGACTCTTATATACATACAAAGAACTATTATTTTAGCAATTCAGCACAATACTATGCATAAAAAATATAAGATCTCAAAATGATTTAAACGTTAAAATGCTGTAACATTCGAATGTTAAAGAGTGGCAGATGTTGCTACAATACTTGTACTTGCGCTCTTAATAATGCACACTGGAATTGCTGGTGAGAAAGGATAAAACATGGATAATAGCGTAACCGTGAAATGTCTTACTTCAATATTCAGAAATTTCACTATAAATTTTCATTATAAAATTTCAACTTCCTTAATGAAGCTGCAACATAAATATCTGTAACTATCTTATTAATATATTCGCGCAACTGAAACAAGTCTCAATTCATTTCAAATTGCAATTAAAAAAATATTAATGCAAAAAGATGACTATTTTAAAAAGGTCTATATTTTAAGCAGCGCAGAGGTTCCGAAGTGTAACGATGCATATTTATTATACAGTTGCATTACTTCTTCGAATGTAAATGTATATGTACTTGCAGATAGGTTAAACTTGATTCGCGTGGTATTTTAAGTACATGTCTTCATTAAAAAATCTAAAAATATTCCAATCAATTTTGTTCCGAAATCAATAACATGTGATAACATTTTTTACTGTTCTACGGCAATATTTTTTTACGCATATAACGATTTGATAAATTCAAGAAGAAATATATGATCCCATTTAAAAAATAATGCAAGTGTGAAATACATGTGCGTAATTACACTTACGGAACAATACGATCCTAAAAGTGTAGAACCTCTCTTGAATCATTTACTTTTTAAACAAATATTTTTCAATTACGATGAGAAGGTATAGCTTTTTCTAGTTGCGTAAACCATTTTGTATATCACTACGTTATTAACCCTCTGGCAGTTGTTGAATTCACCTACAGTAATATAGTGAAGATTGTTAGGTCAACAGTAGATAATATTCCGTAAAAACACGGTTTACATCCAGATACTTTAAATAGTTCGTTTTAAATATCTCATTCATCGGTAGCATATAAATACCTTTCCCCTTAAGAACTAGTGATAAACAAATCTTTTTAGAGATTTTCTTATTTTTGTTTAAAAATAATTGTGATGCGAATCGAAATTGTAACATGTATTTCATCGTATATAAAATAACTTCAACTTATTAAGTGACAACATTTAAATGCGTTACAACCGCCAAAGGTTTAAAGGTACATAAATACACGATCAAAGGGCAACTGATTCTTGAAACACCAAGTAACAGCGAAGAGAACAGATCGAACAGCTTACTCTCTGCATAGACTGCATACAATTTCTATTGATACTTGTTTCGCAATTTTAACGTTTTGGTTACGCTAATGATTATGAGTACACGAGACTTCATTGAAAAAGGAAAAAATTCTAGACTAGAATGATGTATCAAATACATGAGTTTACGGTGAATTTGGGAAAAATCGATATCTCACAGGTTGGAGCGTTCACGAATGGTAACATATTCCATCATGTTAAAAGTAAAAGTTTTGCACGAAGGTTTATACGTTCCTGGAGTGCGCTAGCTAGCTCCCGTGTCAATTCCTCGCAGACTAATCGCAACTCCGTATTCTTTTCTCGCAACTCTTGTAGTGTTAGTTTTTTTGATTCTTCCACTTCATCCTTGGGAGCGTCTTCTTCACCTCCTTCTCGTTCTGGAACGGTTACGTTTAATTTACAAGAGAATCTTGAAAGTCAATAAAAGCGGAACATAGAACTTACTCGGACTTGGTTTTCTATAAATATGGAATGCACCACAAACACCAGTAAATTGTTGTGGTTGAGGAGTAATGGTTTCCAAAGGTGGATTTTCAGGTAGTTCGCTCTTTGGGGAAAAGTGAGAAAAATCAGCGACAAAATTTTGATTATCACTTAAAGTTTTTTGTCCCTCTCCCTCACTCTTTTGCCCAACCAACTTTCGAGGTGAAGTCTGTAGTAGAGATATATAACAAATTTCTGTTTATAATAATAATTTTGCCTATGCTTTATGATATTTAGAATCCACAAAATCATATAATTATATACAAAATATCTACTGCGCAGATCCGTGATAAGCAGCTTAATTAAACACAATTAATATATAAACCTATAATTTTAATTTAAATCCTTAGAGTAATTAAGCAGTTTCAAACTAAACAAGGTATGTACTTACAATTCCGGGTGAGATTCTAGGCGGTATTAATGGAGGTGCTCCAAGGAAACTTTGACCATTTTTCCCTACAAGAATGTGCACAGTTTGAAGCATAAAACTTTGCCTTCACAGCCACAGATGAAAATTATTGCAGAGAATTGGTAGCAATATATACCTAATTTATTAAGATCGAGACTAGAGCTTCTTGCATGTGTTCTATATGGCCTGGGTGGTGGTGGTGGTGGCGGCTCCTTCTTTGGAGTTACAATGATTCCTTCTTCGTTAGGGGCGGATGGCTTTTTTATTAAAGGTCGCTGGAGCAATGCTGTTGCAGTATGTTGGAGATCATCATCTCCTAATGTAGTGCAACTATTACTATTACCATTTGCTCCAGATGCAAGGATAGCTGCCTCAGGTGTTAAGCGTAATGGTACAGGATGTAAAATTTTGGGATCCTTTTCAACATCGGACTTTTGGAAATCAAAATTTACTAACTGCAAACCTGGTATGGTGAGAGAACTACTAGTTCCAGTCGGCGAGTCTACAAACTTCGTCCATTCTCTGTATTTGCTTTTTTCTATAGTTTTAGTGGTATTAGGTACAATTTTCTGAGTAGTTGTATTTGATGGAATTGGTGGTCGTTCAGTCTTTTGCCTAAACAGTGGATTTAATAAAGGTAACGGTAATACATCAGGTAGAGGCACATGATGTCTTCGTAATACAACCAAATGCATAGCTACAAGAAATTCTTCTAAACTCAATGCCCCATCTCTAGTTATATCTGCCAGCCGCCAAATGTGACTTAGTTCTTGCAGAGGAAGTCCAGATCTTTGAAAAAATGTTCTGGCAATGTGGCCATGTAAAAGTCCATCAGGATCTAACTGCAGCTGTGAAAATTGAGTGGTGTAATATTCACATTGTTCATCAGTGATTATCCATACTTCTGGCGGAAATTCTGAACTCTCAGCATCACCATCACCTTCGTCGCTGCTATGGCGTTCTGAACTTTCTTCTTCTGTACCTAATAATTGTCTCAACTCGTCGGATAATCCTTGCCAATCTTCAGTAACAGAGTCTAATATCGCTTTACCACCTATATCGTTATTCCTATCTTGTATTACACTGTTTGTAGGTGTGGGTGAATCAGTACTACCACCAGTTTCCCTTGGAGATTCTGCTTCGCTTTCACTTTCTGTGGTACTTTCAGGAGCATGCCGACCTTTCACAGCCCTATTTGAATCTGAACTTCTTCTGTCATCTTCGTCTCCCGATGTCGGCCAAGTAAATTTTGGCAGAGTTATAACATCCAACGGCATGGTAATTAAGTCTTTGCGAATATTAAATCCTGCTTGGTGAGCTGCCACAAGTTTTAATAATCCATAAAATTGTTTCTTTCCAAGATGTGTTGCAATGCATGGTGCTTTGGTTCCAAAGCAAATATCCAATATCTACAAATTACAAAGATCCTAAATGTTGTCACTAACATTTAAAATTGATAAAATATTTTAATTCTATTTGGTAACGCTATGAAGATCCTTAAAACTATTATTCACAGTTTATTTACGAATGATAACTATCTGCTAATGTAATAGTTCATACAAGACTTACTTAAAATTCAAACAGGACATAAAAAAAGATTGTAGTTTGAACTTTATTGCATTAACAAATATCGTATTTTGTATAATGATAACAATAATCCTGCACGTTGAGTAACGCATCGGGATATATAGTATTTTTATAATGTTTGCATGATCGATGTACAGAACCATTTTCAAAAGTTACCACAACCTTCACGAGCAATAAACGGCTAATCAATTTATCAATCATACATGTTAATTAATATTGCGTATTCGCGCCAGTAATCCGTGACGAACCATCATCGAAATACTTCGCACTCGCTTTACTATGCATTTAAAGGCACGGAGACGTAGCGGTTTAATTCGTAACTAAACGATACAGTTAATAATTTGCTTACGATTCCTGTTACAACCTAACCTTCATGAGTTTCCAGAATTTGCCGACATCATGACACGTTATGACACATTAGGACGACCACCTTGTCGTAATTAATCGTCGCCGTAGGACCATAGCATTTCGATCGCGTGGATGACAGAAAACCAATAGCTGACAAGCTAAGCATGAAAAGTAGATGTGATTTACCTTCATCGTGACAAGACCTGGCAAATTCGCCGAGCGTAGCAGCTCGGCGACTTTGATCACCGGCACACTCTCGCTGTCAGTGTTTTCGCAACAATAACTAAAAATGTCTTCGTAGTACTGGTACTCGGTGATCGTCAAGTGAAGGTTTGCCATCGTGATCGAGTCCCAATCCATCTTGGAGACAAGTTAGAGCGGAGCAATGAACCGCTTCAACACTCGTTACGTATAAAGTGGATGTCCGTTCTCTTTCTCTCTTTTCCCTTCTTCTCCCTCTCTTGCGTTGTTCCTTCGTTCTTGACACGATTTGCTTGAAGAGACGGTCGCGATCAGCGTAGTCACATCGCACGATAATATTACGGCTTCGATAAATCCCTTGGGAACGCGAGACACCCCATTTATAAACTATATCCCATGCATCGCGAAATTACGGCCCGACCGCCATCTTTCCGTTTGCTCCTCAGTGTTTGACATTACTATATCTATACGTATGCACATATACGCCACTTGCATAGACAACTGACATTTCTATGGTAGATGCGCAATAACTTCGTGCTACGGTCGCTTCGTTTCGCGCATGCCTCGCGCCTCGCAACAACGACGCGGGACATTCAAATTTTTCGTCATTTTTATTCTGTAAATCCTTTTCATCCGTTTAACATTACAATTTAATATTACAATTCTATTTGTTTCGTGTCTACTTCAAGTGTCATATACAATTGCGCCACGCATGGCAAATCGCTTCGCCATACGCATCTAAATGATTCACATTTCTTTTCTATCATTTGGTTTAACGAATATCAGAGTAACCATGTATGCTTTCGAGTTTGAATTCCTTGTTGTTCGACGTTGATAATATTAAAAGAAAAAAAGAAAACATTATTATTGGTTTCTTTCGTTCGGGATTGTTACTCTTACGAATATACTTTAGTTTCGGCGTAGCGAAATACTAAGCGCGTTTGAACGTGTGCGGTCCTTAAAGATAAACGAAGAAAAACGTAAGTTGCTTTGCGAAAGGAAACTCGTAGAACGCTTATGATAATAACTATATGAACTGAGGATGTGACTAGAACATGTTATTACGACAAACTCTCACGGGAGTTCCAGGCATACCGAACATTGTCTCCGTCGAGCTCATCTGAGAATCCGATTTGACTAGCTTAGCTGTCCTTCTTTCAGTCGAATGACAATATGAAATCGTAGACAAGGTGTCGCGATGAATTACGGACACAACAATTCGTACGGAGCTGTACGGTTAAACGTTTTCTGCGATCGAGGAAGACGGACTTTTCTTCGCGTTGCTACAACGTCCGGTCGCTGTCTTCTTCCCGGCCAACTTGAATCGATGAGACACCGGCGAAACATCTCTTGGACTGCCGCTAATGTTATCAAAGTCCCAACTGGCGAAATGTTCTTCGAATAGCTCTTCCAGTCTTCTTGATAGCGTCTCGATCGTTTTCACTCGATCATGATCGTTCTGCGCACAAAATCATCATTTTGTTAAAATTGTACATTTTGTGTACGAATATTCACTCTTTACACGACTTTTGTTACAAGTAATAAATACAGTTTTGCAGCATATTGCTTTATAATATGTTAAAATTGGAGATTTATATTACATTGCAATATTAGGATATTACTGCCTTTATAACGATCACAACGAAATATACTGCTTTTTGTTAATCTATCCAATCGGCACTGTTTAGTGTTTTAATACAAAAAGCAGACGCACTGTTTATAATAAATAATAAATATATAAATGTTATAATTATAAACATTTTTACAGTAAAAATAAATACATATAAATAGGAGGTTCCTCAGGTCATTTGAAGTAACTTTATCCTTAGCGAGAATGAAATCCGCGGCTTCGTTTGCGAGTTATTAACGAAAAACACTGACCAATAAAAGGGGAGATCAGCTGGCGCGAGACGGCCAAGCCAATGAGCGCACGTTGCTCAGTTCCGCTCGTTCGCTGCCCCGCCTCGCGCCAGCCGAGCTCGCTTCTCATTGGTCACTGTTTTTCGTTAATAACTCGTAAACAAAGCCGCGGATTGCATTTTCGCAAAGGAAAAAGTTACTTCAAATGATCCCAGGAACCTCCCATTTTCGGATTTCGAGACATTTTTGAGACACTCTGTAATATCGAGAATAAAACAACACGGTCACACTAAGGCTGAATTTAGACATACAAGTAGACGAACCTTGTGATACATTTTGGAATTGTAAACGATACGACGAAAGTCCCGGACCGCGTGTTCCACCTTGTGGTAAACGCGATTCTTCAGCTTGTATTCGACCGTTTCAAGAAACAACGGGTTCTTGATGACCTTGCAGTAGTCTTCGATCTACAACAGCATTTTACGATTACCATGCTGCGATTTCTACGGGTAAAATAATCTTGCGAAAAATTCTAACTGTGTACGTAGAGGACTGGCTGCCACCGCTGTCTCCGGAAGACGGGTACTTGAAGACTTCCGCCTCGTCCATTTGCCAGACCGTCCGATGTATCGTTTCCAGTTTGCTCAGCGCGAGAGGACTGAGACTTTGCTTCCTTTTCGAGCTGTACCACACGGACCAGCCTCGGTCGCTGGCCTTGCCGCCGTATTTCCCATCCAAAAACTCGATGCAACCGACGTACTCCTTCTTCTTCTCGTGCTTCGCCATAACCGCGGACTGCGGCAGACCGAGCGCGTTTTCCTTCGTCGCGTCGTTCCGCGAAATTTTCGACTTGCCGCTCGTCATTTCCTCCATCTGCGGCTCGTCGATCTCGTAGCATTTCGTCAGCTTCTTACCAGGACACTTGCGCGATCTGTTGTGCGCGAGATAATGCGATTTCTCGGACTCTTTTCTCGGACACCTGCGGCCGGAAATCGGCGCGACGCCGCTGCTCGTCGTCGACGAGTTCGGGACACTCGATTTTCCTCTTTTGCCGAATTCCTTCTTCTCCGATTGCGACGCGGTTACAGGCGTCGAGCGTCGCACCGTTTCAGAGTACGTGGCCTTCCCGGCGATCACCTCTTCCGATGTCTTTTGATCGTTGCTCGAAGGGCTGCACGCGTCCTTCGCGGCGTTGTGGCTAATTTGCTGAAGGTTCTTAACAGTTATGGTCGTCGCGACGGTCGTTGCAGATGCGGTCAACGATAAAACGGGAACGGACTGTTCGTCGTCTTCTATCATCGAGCTGTTCGACGATTCGGAGCTGCGCGGATCGGCGCTGTTCTTTCGCCGTTTCTTGTTCACCATGCTAGCGTTGTTCAAAGTTCTGATTAACCACGAGTCCGTTTTAACGTTCATCTTACTGAAACCTGTTAACGGGCAGCTGCATAGAATATTGCGGGATTTAATACTGGAGGAACGGAACGGTGTCTTTTTTTTGAAAATGTATCGGCAAAATAAAACAATCGACTAACCCCTTCGCATGTACCAATATTTCCGTTCTTCTAGCACTAAAATATATCAATATTTCTTATCAACGACTAACATTCTATCTCGTGTTATTTTCTAGATGATACGTGACGCAATGCGAACGCTTTATTAGCCTATTTAGGAGGAATAACAGCAAGTGCTAATCGCTACAAAAAATACCCTGCTCGTTCCTAAAAAAGAATTAATTACTCCGACGTGTTTCAAACGAACGTGTGTTACCGTTTTTATTTTCGGACGATTGTAGAGCCTCGTTGATGCTTCTGTTTGGGGAGAAATGGCAGGTGGACCCGGAGTCGTCCTCGGACGCCTCGTAACTAGAAGCTCCGCTGCAGCCGTCGTTGTCATCCTTAATCGCTTTCGGGATATTTTCCTTCATTTTCTCTCGATTCTCTTCGGGTTCCGGCAGAGCGTCGACGTTGCCCCCATTTCCGATGCTTTCGTGCTCCCCGGTACGATCTCTGGGATCGGCTTCGTTCTCGTCGACATTCTCGCCTTCCTTAACGTTCAACGCTTCCAGCAGAATCTTCGCCGAGGCGCACGCCGCGTTCCAAGTGACGTCCTGCGGCAGAGCGTGGTTCATATTTTCGGATCGTTTCAAAATTCTAGGCGAATTCTCCAGGGAGAATGCAGGCGGTGGCACGATGGGGGTCGCTGGGAAGGGCAGCTTCACCGGCGCGTCGATAGAATTGCTGGCGTTGCTGGTGGCAGACGCAACGGTAGCTCGCGAGGCTGGCATCGACGACGCCTGAGCGGAAAAGACCTTATCCTTGCCGGCGTAATTATTGCGATGGCTGTTGGCGCGACCACTCGCCGCGTTCCGGGACATATAGTTGTCCAAACGACGGGCCGATCTGCGCTGGTGTCTCTTCTTCGGGACGTTGTAACTTCCCGGCTTCATGTACACCCTGCCGTCCTCGGAGCTATCGTACTCCTCGGGACCTTGGACGCGAGCGTTGATCAGATTGTAAGCGTTCCAAGGCGCGCTCTGGATGCTCTGCATGTTCTGCAGCGTCTGGAACTGGCGGTTCGCGTCGATCTGCAGCTGCCTGATGCAGTTGCCCAGGTCTATCGTGTTCTTCGAGATGTCCTGGCGCGACGGCAGCCGAGGCACCACGTTCCCCGTCTTCGTTTCCCCGAGCTTCACGAAGGACACCTGTCTATTGTCGGAGTTCCTTATGCTCGCGAACCAGGCGGACAAGTTCGCGGTCATCTCCTCGGACGACTTCTCGGAGGTGCTCGGCTCTATCTGACTCAACAAGGTCATCTTGTCTTTCGGAACGGTAGCCAGCTCCAGCTGATTCGTCGACGACTTACCGACGTACACCAGGTCCACGTTGCTCTTCCTCGGTTGGGCCTGGTTGCAATTCATTGCGTTCTTGTCGGCGTACTCGACCGTGTACGACGGGAAAACGGAGTAGCCGTGATCGAAGCTCTCGGGCTCGTTGTTCGAGCTGAAGTACACCGATTCCAGGCTGATCGACGGATTCAGGAACGACGACGACGACTCCACTCTGGACAGACATTTCCTTGCGTAAGCGTTATCGTAACCCTCGTCCACCTGTTGCTGGACCCGAAACATCCCGTCGTGGTTCTCGCGTCGCGGCACCGTCGCGTTCTCCACGAGTTCCTGTTTCTTCTCCTTGTACGTCCACTGCTTCCCGTAGTCTTGGCTGCTCTCCGTGAGCACTTTGCTTCGCAGATGGTAAAACTCCGCGTTCAGGGATCGCGGCGCCGGGTCGATCTTCGCCGAGGACGTGCCAGCCCGCGATCGGAGCCTGCCGCTCGCCGGAATGCCGGACTCCGCGTGCCCTAGGAACACATCGAGCACGGATTTCGCGCTATCCATCGCCTCTAGGTTCTCGGTAACAGTCCACTTACTTCGCAGCTTCGACTCAGTCTGCGACGCCTGCTTCTCCTGCTTGTAGACCTCGAGATTCCGCAGGCATCCCGCAGACTGAGCGACGTTGAACGCGGCGTCCTGCTCGTTCTTCCTGAGAACTGCGGACTCCTGCCGCGCCGCGCTTCCGTTCACGGACGGGTCGAACAAGTCGCAGTTCATGTGAACGGACACGTCACCTGGAAAAAAGCTGCCCAACGATTTCCGCTCGGCGTCCGCCGCGTCGCCGGTCTCCCCGATCTTCACGAAACTCTGCACGATCCGGTTGAGCAGCTCGTGGGTGTGCTTCTCCCAGAGCTGGAAGCTCGAGATCAGCTCTTTGTCGTACTTCTCGTCGAGGCTCGGGTAGTGCTGCTTGTTCAAGTAGTTGTCGAGGATCAGCCAGCCGTTGCTGATGCGCAGCAAGGCGTTGATCAGGTCGCCGACGAACACCTGATTCCCGGCGAAGACCGGGAAGCAGGTCGACGACTTTGTGACCGCGGTCTTCGTCGCGGCGGAGAGATTCTTCAGCCAGCCGGACCTCGGGTTCGTCTTGCAGCTCGCGTTCAGGATGGCCTCGGCCTCCGAGCATCCCCAGTACACCGCCTTCCTGATCAATTCCGGGTACCGAGCGCCGTCCGCGCCTGGCCCGTCCGTCTGGATCGCCGTCGACGAGCCGCTGTTGTTGTAGCTGCCGCAGAAATCGGTGAACCAAGCGTTCTTGTTCGAGATCGTGTCCCCGGCGCCGCTGAACAGTGGCGCCGAGTTCGCCTTGCCGTTCTTCGGCTCCTCCTTGACGAGGTCGTTCGAGGACGTGTTGCACAGCGCCGACACCATTTTCTCGGCCTCGATGGTGAAATCGAAGCTGGCCGACGACTCGTCCGAATAATGGTCCTCCTTCGCTTTCGCGGGCACGCCGGCTTTCTCCAGCGAGCTCGCTTCTCTCGCGGCTTCCTGGTTCGTGTCATCGGTCCCGGATTTCGCGTCGAACAGACTGCTCGCCGAGGAGGCGATCGTTTGGAACGGCCACTCCCCGTAGCCTTCGGAGGCGATCGGCGCGATGCAGCAGCAAGCCGTGCTGCTCGGGGCCTTGCCCTTGCCGCGTTTCACGGCCGACACCTCGAGCGCGGACGGGGCAACGCTCTTGTCCCTTTGCGGGGCCCCGATCGCGACGCTCGCCGGCTGCTTCGGGAATATCTGCGCCGGTTGCACCGGCTGAACCGGCCCGGAGATTTGATTGCCGAAGCTGGCCGGTGCGTATGGGCTCAGATTCGAGAACTGAAACGTCGAGTGCGTGTTCACCGTCTGCAGGTTGTAGGTGTTCGTCGCCGAGATGTTGTAGTAGGGACCGTTGTGCAGCGGCTGCTCTTGTTGCTGTTGCTGCGCGGTTTGCTGGTCCTGCACCAGGCAATACGTCTGCAGCTCCGGCGGCTTGTAGTATGGTTGCGGCAGCAGGGCCAGGCCGGAGTTATTGTACTGATCTCCGGAATAGGAGCCGTGCGCGTACGTCGAGGCTACTAAAAACGAAGCGGTCGGCGCCGGAAGCGGAGCATTGTTCGCCGTTTGATCGAATAAGACCAAGGGCTTCGGGCTGTAGGACAACTGCTGCTGAATGTGTTGCTGCTGCTGCTGTTGCTGTTGCTGTTGTTGTTGTTGTTGTTGCTGCTGCTGCTGCTGACAGTATTGCTGATTTCGTACGAGCTTATTCTTCGGTGGCCATCTGCTTCCTTTGCCTATATTCATGGAATGGTTTGTACGAGATTTGGTGAACATTCAAGGTACTGCGCAAGGAAAACGTGTTATTTGTGGGCACGTGTGAACGTGTACGATTCAGTTATACATTATAGGAACAATATATCTAGTTTCTTGTTTTGTTTGTTATTCGTTTGTATTGAAGATGAGGGAATATATGAAGCTATAGCACGGATTGAAGCTAGGTCTTGTGCGTTTGCGAGTAAAAGATGGTTCTGTTAAGTTAAAATCATTGTTGTCTTCGGTACTAAAACAGTAACAAAGTTTTCTTGAATGTCAATCGGTAGCAATTAGTTGAATTAAATATTATTTGTTAGTACCGTTATTAGTTGGTACTGTTATATCAAAATATTGAGTGAAGAAATTGAAGATCCCCATCGAAATAAAGTGGAAAATATGTTTAGTCTGTTTATTAAGGGCATCCTACGATTAACATCTAATATTTTCGACTAATAGCAAATTATAATGCACCAAATTTAACTACAATCGGTAAATCTGATCACTACCCCTGGTATCAAATATTTGATCGAAACCGTGAACATGATTATCAAGATAATTAATTCGAGGATGCAATTCCGACGAAAAATAATACTCCATATACGTTAAATAAATATAATAGACCAGCTAGCGATGTTTAAACAAAATAATCACGTTTACCAAATATAAAATAATACACCGTCTAGCGTTAGAAACGAAGAAATTATTAAAAATATTAACTATCATATATTCGAATACTTTGAACGACGTAAATGACGATAACGATCGCTGAAACAATTGTCTCGTCACTCGGGTATGGTTACAGTCTCGTGTTGATCAATGTCTCTTAATCCCGTACTTAATAAAAAAAAAACACTCATTTTTTCTATTGCACATTTTTTATGTATGACGAGTTTCATTAGTTTACCCGTTTTCATTGTCAAAGCTAAAAATATACAAATAATTGTGACGGCAGATGCTAGAGATATAATTGATTTTGGATCCCATAAACGTAGCAAATGTAGCAAAATGAAAAGATTTTCAAGAACTTGTGGAGAACGCGGGTTTACACCTTGCACGTGTATAGGAACAGGATTAGGTGGGCCAGCGTTACGTTGCGGTCCAGGGTAGACGCACGATGGATGTAAACCAGTCCCGCATGGTTGAAGGGTTAACATTGGATTAATGACGGGCCCATAATGAATTTGTTGCTGCTGCGGATGTAGAACGGAGGAGGACGGCGTGGACGTGGACGGAACTGACGGTTGCAATGGTGTTCGATTCGATCGTGCAGCTGTAGGGTGCATGATCCACCCTAACCCCGGCACGAAATTCCTCTTCTGGCCAGACGACGGTCTGTTTAATTATTCGAATTGCTTAGTCTCCGTTCATCGGTATCCCGGATTTACGCGACTATCCACCCGCGAACGTATAATTTCGATGGGGAATCGAACGGGGACCAACGGGCCATCGTTCAACCGAACCAATGAAACGAACGTAGTCACTGTGTCAGCTGTTAACTGACATGCTTCTAACCTAGCCTATGATTTTGTTCGTTGCAAATTGTTCGAATTTTACCTGATGTCCGAAACACTCTCTTGATCTTCCTGGCCGAAGCAGTTGCGTTCGAACAGCGGCTACTGCGCGAATTACATGGAACCGTCATCGAACGGAACGTTGCGCCCACGGCGAACTATGCGGGTTCATTTCAAGCTTGCAGAAACAAATACGCACGAACGAACGACGAAAAAAAGAAAGATGCGAATTAAACTGTCAACGTGCAAAACTTTCGAACAGAGTCGAGGGGGACCGGATATTCGCGAGCTTTTCTCCGAGTTGTAATTAGCTTCCAAGTTCCAACACCTCGCCCGGGGCTCCGACTCTGCTAATTAAATGTACATGTTATCGTATTAAACGCGCACCGTCTTTCGCATGCACCGTCTTTCAGATTTCTTACGAACAACGAAACGTATGTACATATTGGAAGCACGACGACGAGACACGGAATGGAAGAATTAAACGAATACCGCGAAGAAAAATGGCGGATCACTGACTGCTAACGAAACAACAAAATCATTTGCACGGAACAATGAAACGAGAGAAAAATTTGACGCACGGTTCAAGCAACTTCGACTCCGATATACCTGGTACCGTTATTATTATTAGTCGAGTCGAATAATACAGTAATTTCTCCCTAATTCGCGATCAGATCGAATAGTTGTTCGCAAATCGAACAACTATAAAAACGCAAGGCTCGAATAATCGCTCGAATGTCGCAATCTGAGAGCGAATTAGGCAGAAATTACTGTATATGTTCTTTTTTCGACGAAATCGTGGAGCAATTGAAACGCAATGACGCTCGGTGAATGGTCGATCCGCGTTTTGGCGGCGCCGCGCCGTGTACAGTGATGTCTCTCTAATTGACGCCCAGATTGACCACAAAAATTGACAATTTGCGAAGAGAAGATACGATTATTTGAGCCTTGCGGTTTATTTTTATAGTTGTAAATTGTCCACAATGATAAAAATGAGCCGCAAGGCTCGAATAATCGTATCTCCTCTTCCCAAATTGTCAATTTTTGTGGACATTCTGAGCGTCAGTATGGGAGACATATAGTATATCTCCCTAATAGTGTAATATCTATCTCCCTGTATAGTAATATCTCCCTAACTGACGCTTAGATTGTGCAGAAAAATGGACAATTTGGGAACAGGGTATACGATTATTTCGGCTTTGCACTATATTTTTAATAATCGTTGACAATCGGTAACTATAAAAACGAGTCGCAAGGCTCGAATTCGCAAGGCTCCTCTTCTCAAATTGTCCATTTTTGTGGACAATCTGAGCGTCAGTAAGGGGGGCAGTACTTCACAAGGCTCCTCTTCCCAAATTATCCATTTTACTGGACAATCTGAGCGACAGTAAGGGAGGCAGTACTTCGCAAGGCTCCTCTTCCCAAATTATCCATTTTAGTGGACAATCTGAGCGTCAATTAGGGAGACATTACTATATTTCGCAACTTACGATCAGCTTGGTTCAAGGGAAACAATGAAGCCCCCTGGTCTCCGCAACGACAACTTTGATATATTTTCCTCGTTTCGCACAAAAAAACATATTGTACAGATGTTGTTCACGCGAATACAGTTTACAACAAGATATCATCAACAAGTTGCGCAATCGTTGCGTACGTATTTATCATTCTTAAGCTCTATGCAGAAAAATCGTCGAATGAACACAATGTGACACCGACGCCACACTTTCAGCACCTACAAGTTGAAAATTTCCGATAAAAGAGTTACATAGAGACGCGGCCGACGGATGATCGCCGGCGCGCATTTGCAAAAAGTACGAAAAAATGTGACTGTTCCTGAATTCCTGCACGGTTCGCCGTCGCGAAAACGGTGAGTCCCTGAACAATCTACTCGGCCCGTTTTCCCTAAACGAAGACGTCGGAACACGAACCGTGAACGCGTAATGGACTAGCGACGATGCACGAACGAACATCTCTCGGTATAAACGACAAAATTTCGCTTTTCATTTTGTCTTTCTTTTTCACGCGCGCTCGCGCGTTTGTACGATTTCCTCTTGGCGCAGCACGCAGCTTTGTAACCACTTTTTCATCGCCATTGTTTCGCGCGTATGTGTTTCGATTGTTCCCTTAACGATTCGAATCTCGTGTTCGCGAAAGAGTAAAATTTTGTTTAGTCCCGTTAGTGCGCGAACCAGGAACAGCGTGCACGGTTTTCTCTAAAGCTACGATAATCGTTAACCAACGGACAGGAGGAGGCTGCAAGAGCCCGGCTCTCTAGAGTTACGTCGAATAAAACGCCGGCTCCGTTCGTGGATCCTCCGTTCCCTCGATTGCTTCGAGATCGCTAGCGTGGTTCGATTGTCGGAATGTAAACGGAAAGAAAAGATTCTCTATAGTTTAGATGCGGATTAGTTTTGCACTTCGAAAGTGGCCTTCCCTCGTCTTCGCGATCCTCTCTTTATCTGCGAGGCGAGAGATCAAGGGTACGACGAGCGTCGATATCATCTCTCTCTCTCTCTCTCTCTCTCTCTCTCTCTCTCTCTCTCTCTTTGGTATCCGTCGATCTGTCTGCCAGTCCGTTCCCTTCTTGTTTCTCGAGTATGCAAGGTTCGAAGCTGTCTGCTGGTGTACTAACGATCTCGAACGTATCTCTTTCGTCGATTGTTCGGGAGCATGGTAAACTTCTCTTAGGTCTAGTTACGGATGAATGCTAGCAGAACGCTGCCCAGAACACAAAGTAGGATCAGCGACTTCGCCGGCGGGACGACCGGCGTGGCAGCGTTGCAGTAGTCTGTCAAACATGAGCAAACCTCCTGGCGGCCGCCGAAGCCGCTGCGCTGGTAGCACTTCCCTTTGTAGCTGGTCTCGACCCATCCGCAGCTCCTTATTACACGAGTGTCAGCTGGAACTGTTTAGAAACACGTGTAATCGCCGTTCACCCCGCCGCGCCGCCTGACACGATCATCTTTATCAAACGGCATCAACGCGTTAGCTAACCGCAATTTCTGCTCGACCTTCTGCATCCGACGTTCCGACTAGTCTGTTAAAAGAGGAAACGGCGAACACGCCTTCAATTGCGTGTGTTGTCCTATCCGGTTCAGCAGGCTCGAATTAGTTTATCGTTCGTTTTCGCTGGATTTTTTACGCGTTATCGTGGGACATTTTTGTTAGACCGACCTCGAAATATCGCGATACAGTAAATTCTCCCTAATTGACGCTCAGCTTGGAAACAAAAATAGACAATTTCTGAAGGGGAGATGCGATTGCTCGGGCCTCGTGGCATATTTTTATAATTGCCGATTATCAACAATTATAAAAACGAGCTGCAAGGCTCGAATAATCGTATCTTCTCTTTCTAAAGTGTTCATTTTTGTTTCCAAGCTGAGCGGTGGGACTATTCGAGTCCCACCCTGTAACAACAAATTGAATTGAATTTTATTATTTCGTTATGTTTTTTTATTATGCGATTTCTTTGTTAATAAAAATATAACAATTTTGTTGAATTTTGAAACGCAATTTCTGTGCAACCATTGGTCTACTTTGTTATCTAAAATCCTGTGTCCTAAAGAGTTAACGGAACCATTTTCCTCTGATTGGAACATTAAACTCCATTTTCTTCCACGGTTTTCAAGTGGAATTACACGAAATTAACGGCAACGACGACGCTCGGAAACAGCGGCTGCTCCGTTCCAGAAGTATTAACTATTTTCGCGAAGAAATTTCAACCTTCTTTACGACGATACAAGCGACAGCGTTTCCTTCATGTATTCATTTTCGCAACAAGAAAATTTCGAGTTTGGTATTTTTATCTCGCCGCGCAGTTCTGCCTGCTAATAACTGGACCAAGGATTTTATACGAGCCATCGATGACCCGCGCGGCACGAATGAAATGCCGTACAAATCTAGCACGGTACCCAACGTGTTAATGCAAAGTGCTTATAAACCATCGAGCAAGATGGTTTGCCGTTTTTATTATAGCTGTCGCAATATTCAATGCTTTAAATATTGCTGTTCAAAGAAATGACTTAAAAAAATATACAATGTATACATATGAATAAATAAAAATAAGTATACATACATGTAAATAAATATAAATACATATAAATAAATAAATAAATATATATATATATACATATAAATAAATATAAATAAATATAATAAATACGATCTGATCAGTGTGTACTATTTTTTAAGTAATTTCTTCGAACAGCAATATCTAAAGCATTGAATATTGCGATAGATATAATAATGACGGACAACAATCTTTGATAATCAGCAAAAACCTGAGATAACGCCCGCACAACTATAATATTGTTTTCGAGTATGGCAAAGGCGTCAACTATTTTTAAAAAATTCTCAACAACTGCCGACTTTTTAAACGATACATCCTACGCAACGAATCAATTCATTATTTATTTACGCGTCTAAACTAATTTCCTTTTCTATTGAAACACGAATTGGCCGCAATCTCGCGTTAGTGTAACACGATAAGTTGCACTAACGGTTAAATTGCGGCAGATAAATCAGGCAACTTGTAGCTTAAGATGCATTGTGTTAATCACGCCGTTGTAACGTGCTCGGTAGTATGTGGTTGCTTTCTATAGAATAATGAGGAAGCTGAATTAATCTGGGTTAATGTTGATAACTCTCCTTTAGCCAGATTGCGACGCGAACATTCGCTTGCTGTATTAACCAAAAGTTTCCGATCTCCGTTGAATTCGTCATTATTTTACAGATCGTTATGCGTCTACGGATCGTTATACATTTACAGATTACATATTACGGAACGATGTATCGTTTTAGATCGATTATTATTGTGCTTGCTGTTTCCTTGGTCGAACGAAATCGGTCGAACACGACGAATTATAAGAGAAATCGAAGACGTCGCGGCGACGTCTCGCATACACGTGTATACCGTTACATAAAAGATAATCGTGTAACACGTCTAATATCACAACAATGAAATAATTTGCGTATATTACTTACGTCCATTAACGCTAAACTCGATGACTTGCGTAATCTTTCGGCACATCGTGTATTTCGCGCCGTTCTTCAGTTCGGAGCAATCTCTTTTAAGGGCATCCGGCGGCGTTTCGTCGGAACATCGGCTGTCGTTGTGACTGTTACACAAGTAACATTGAATGGCGTGGATACCTGTAGCATTACAGACATTCGAAAAAAGGTCAGTCGATGTGCGAGTAGCCTGTACACGAATGTATCCCGTAAAAATCATCTTTCGATGCAAATTTTCTATCAATATTAATACGTTCAGTGCCGCGTAAGTACACTAATTTTGAACTAGGTTTTTGAAATTCATTTTCATTGTAATACATTCAACGAATTGAATGTTACTAGGATTTGTAGAATACAAAATAGCTGAAGTAATATTTCCCGTGGAAAATTTTCGCTTTCCAGTTTCGATTTCATTAATTAAACGACCGTGATATCGCGTGAATTTTTCGAGTCGATATTCGGCACTTAACGTGTTCAAAATAAAATCGATTAATCCGTGCAATAAATATAATGACTAGACTGCGGATTTCTACACGAAATAAGAATTGTCTTCCTTAAATGCAGTAAATTGGAATAATATAAGAAGTTGATTTAATAAATCTAATAATATTAATAAATTTAGATGGGGTTCAAAATAAAGTAACGGTCATTCGAAATTTCTTCAATGTTTCGAATGTTTTATCTCTTATCCATTATTATCGTGAGTACGAAACTCACGGTTCGATAATCACGTTTCGAATGCTGGACTCGGTGAAACATTTGCGTACGGAATATTTATAATCGTGTCTCGCGACATTATTAATTAAACATTATTAATTCGTACAATAACGTAATCGCGACGTGAGAACCTAAACGCGAAGATATTTCTAAGCTCCGAGATCGTGAAAACATTTGTGCACTGTGCCAAATGCATCGTCGCGTGTCGAATCGAGCGTTGTGCATCGAATATGCGGTAAATTCTCCCGAATTTCACCTTCACCTTTTAAACAAGAATGAACAATTTGGAAAGAGCAGATACGATTACTCGAGCCTGGCGTCTCATTTTTCACAGTCGCCGATTGTCAACAATTACGAAAACTAGGTGCAAGGCTGATCGCATCTCCTCTTCCCAAATTGTCCATTTTTTTGTACAAGCCGAACGAAAATTCGGGAGAATTTACTGCATTTGGTTGCGTCAAGTTTGATAAACTCGTGAACGGGCCTCGATGCTCGAGCTTCCGTGGATCGGTCATCATCAACAAATTGTACACAAGACGCAGTTTCAATTTCGTAATAACGTGAAGCACAAGGTTCCGACCTTTATCGCGCGGCCGATAAGAGGGGTCAGCGGAGATAATACGACCGGCAAACGATTTCTGTCAAGGGATTCAGCATACTGTACGTGTTTTAATCTCCTCGGTACGGTAGCCGACAGCCATCAACTATCATCAACTGCTGACGACCATAGTCGACGATGGCACTGAAGGGGTTAAACGTCGACATGCGTGTGCACACCAACAGATTTATGTAGGTCATCGTATCGCAGCCACGAATCGTTGGACACCGAGCATCGGACACGTTCACGACGAGAACGATTCAAGGTGCTTGTTTTCTCAGCCGTCAATCATTTTTCCCGGTCGATTTTCTCGAAGCAAGCTTCGTCGTCCTTGCAACCAATATAAAAAAAAAATCGAGATGCAGCTACCTGCCCCGGAAAGACGCAACGACAATAATTCAGCCTCTCCCGTCGACGTACTCTAATCTCGTTTGTGTTGTCATTCGTAGTTTCGGATGCATAGCAGCGACACGAATCCTTGAGCAATCGAGACGACGCGCCGTAATCTTGCCGCATACTTGTCTATAATGGGATGGAATCGTCACGATTGTAAGATTAACCGCGAGGATTAGATTATAACAGAGTACAAATATGGCGCGGGCAGAAATATATATGTATTGACGATCGCTGGGAACGCTGTCATTGGGTCTATACCATAACCAATATGTACAGTAATGTCTCCCTAATCGACGCTCAGATTATTCGAGCTTTGCAACTCGTTTTGATAGTTACCAATTTGTCAACAATTATAAGAACGAGCTGCAAGACTCGAATAATCGTATCTACTCTTCGCAAATTGTCCATTTTTTGCAACGCGAAATTTTGTGCAACGCGAATAAAATATAGAGCCGTGAAATTAGCATACGAGATAATAAATATTTATTGCTATACTTTTTCATTTCAGTGAATATTCAACGAGCCGAGTTCGCTTTCATTTTACGGGGAAGTTGACGCGTATGGGTAAACGGATTTCGCACGAATCTGCGCGCTCTTTTGCGCATAGTGCGTCGTCATTGATCTCTCACCGACGTTTGCACCGATGCATTCGGCCAGCATGCTAAATATACCCTCTATTTTCTTCAACGAGTACGCGCATTGAAACGTTTACCAACTCACTCGCATGATTTATTGTTATCCGTTAATGTTGCAGGTACGGTAATGTCTCTCTAATTGACGCTCAGATTGTCCACAAAAAATGGACAATTTACGGAGAAGAGAGACGATTATTCGATCCTTGCGATTCATTTTTATAGTCACGAATTATCAACAACTATAAAAAACGAGCTGCAAGGCTCGAATAATGGTATCTCCTCTTCCCAAATTGTCCATTTTTGTGGACAATCCGAGCGTCAGTTAGGGAGACATTACTGTACACGTTAGCGTCGAACAAATCGCGCAACGGTAATACTATACCCAAACACTGGACGCTCCCAGAGACTGACAAAGTAACGTGATACATTTTGTGCAGAACGCTGTCGCGTCCTTTACAAATGTAATGTTTACATGATCGATGATGTGTACGTTGGAAATCGACGCCACGACCGTATCTGGTCCGGCGGCTCGCGATTTGCAAAAACCGATGAAAAAGTCTCTGTACACGAAACAACGACAGAATCTGTTACGATCCTTTTGTAACGTCGTTACAAATGGAATCATATTGCACGTCGATTCGGTTGTGCAACCTCGATGGAACGGGAGAATATTTAATCGCTGGGGTTGCATGGCAACGACGCTCGTCGCCATAACATCGTTGTCTAAATTCAATTTAATCGCCGGACCAAATCTCTGTGCATGTGTGTGTTCGTACTTTTCCCTCTTTTCCCTTCCTTTTTTTATTGCTCCAGTAGTCTTGACGATTTTTCCGTTAGCAAACAACAAGAGTGCAATCGGAAACAACGACGTCTCGAAGGACACGTAAAAAGAAACGCCAAGCATGAGATTCGACCGGACGTTTGAATCCTGCGAGAAGCCTCCTGCGTAGTTGATTCTATTATACGAAGTTATACGACTTTATTTTGAAAGTCAAAACGAATGTCTCCCTAATTGACGCACAGATTGTGCACAAAAATGGACAATTTGGGAAGAGGAGATACTATTATTCGAGCCTTGCAGCTCGTTTTTATAGTTGTTGACAATCGATAATCATAAAAAACGAGCCACGAGGCTCGAACAATCGTATCTACCCTTCCAAAATTGTCCATTTTTGTGGACAATCTGAGCGTCAATTAGAGAAACATTACTGTATAGGCTGCAATTTCGACCGTAGTTGTCTAAACAGAAGTCGTTCTAAAGAACTCGAATCTGTTCCGGGAAAGTAGTCAGATAACGAAATAAGAAAAGCATAAAATAACAAGTGACGTATGGCAGTCGGCTGCAACTGAACATTTGAATGCTACAAAAGACAGTGGACTCTATTGTACGTAGCAGGCGGAACAACAAAATGGAAGAAAATATCAATGAGAAATGAGAAATTCGAGCAATGAAAAATAGCCTAAAGAATCTCGATTCAATTTTGCGAAGTGAATGATAAAATAAACTAGAAAAATTCTATTGTACGTGGCAGGCGGAATAATAAAATAGAAAAAAATATCAATGAGAAATGAGAAATTCAAGCGATGCAATGAAAAATAGCCTAAATTATCTCGATTCGATTTTGCGAAATAGACGACAAAATAAACTAGAAAAATGGTACGAAATAGATATAAATGATCCGAGCACTTGGAAGCTATAAAAGACAGTGGATTCTATCACGGAAATAAAAAAAAAAATTAATAATATAAAATTGAAAACAGTCGAGCGACATAGGTAGCCTCGACTCGAACGCTGCGCATAGGCAGCCGAAAAGAAGTCCGTTTTAGGGTGTTTCGCGTGGAAACTGCGGGAACTTCGAGGGAAGAAGGAGTAAACAGAGTGGCACTTGCACAAAAAAAAAACAAAAAGGAACGAAAAGCAGCGACGCATTAGGACCGGCTACTACGATCGATCTAAAAAAAGGGTCGGCCAAAGAGATCGGTTCGCGGATATTAGGGCTTACCGCGTATAAAATGCGTGAAAGGGGAGAGAGCGTTGGGTGGGAACGGGCGACGCTAAGGAATAATTTACGAATCTAAGCGTCACGGGTGGCGATTGAAGCGGGAATCTAGGTCTACCAGGGACAGGGGGGTAGATCGATAGCGAGCGGTCTCGTAAACCCGCCCCGATCGTTGAACCAGAGGGGTAGCTAGACAACAACGCCTGTGGGACACGCTTACCATAAAAATTGAGAATGAACAGGAGGCAAACTGCGAAGACGTGTGCGCGGCTCATGTTGGCAATCGGTAATATCCTTGCAGGGCAATCTCGGTATCCTTCAACGAGCAGAGAGACGGCGGGGTCCTCCTCGCGGTCACCGGTGGTAGATTGCACGCGACCGGGCGGCGCTCAGGGTGCTCGTGAGAACCCGGAGGGAGAGAAAGAGAGAAAAAGCGGCCGGATCAAGGATCGCCGTAGTCAACCATTCGGCCCCGAGAGCTGCTGAAGCACTGTTCAAGCTGTTGGCCGCTCGATGCGATTGCAGCGCAAGCCCGCAACTAAGGCAACGATGCTCGCCGGCCCGAGAGAACCACGGATACGTGATTGCGCGCGAGAGGAACAGCTCGCGGGCAAACCGAGCGAAGCGACCAGACGGGACCGATCGAATAACAGATTCGTCAACAGATCACTCGGGCCTCGAACGATTCTGATCGGAGGTATCACTGATCTTACAGGTGTCCCGGATCCTCCGCGAATCGCGATTCTGGCAGCCGCGTTCCCAACCGTCGACAGATATCTCCTGGGTACCCACCGCACGCCGGAATCAATATTTTTGATAAGCGGTAGGAGGGATGCTGCTGTCCCGGATTGGTTATCGCGGCATTACCGCGCGGTAGATCGTTTTTATTGCGTTTACGAGATTAGTATATTTGGCCAACGCAATCGCCCCCCCCCCCCCTGCGGGGAGGGGGGATAATGGTATGACGCGCTGGCCAGAACAACTTGTCCTGTGTTCTTAATCCCTTGACATACTATCTTTTTTCGCAGTTACTGCGATTAGAAATTTTTCGATTGCAATAGTTTTTTAAGAGGGAGAGAAAATTAGAATTTTATTCCAATTTTAAAGGACAGAATAACATCTACGTTGAATTAGGATTTTTGCAAAAATTTATTTAAACGTTGTCCAGTAAACTAGTTGTTCTAACACCTTAAACAAATTCAAATCATTTGAAAGAATTAAAAAAAAAATATTTCGTTTTAAATGGTGTTTGAACACTTTCGTGAACGACTGGTACCACCATGTTGATCCCAGTTCTCACAAAAATTTCCGCAATTCCACTGTGGAGAGAAGTATAGTTCGCTACAGAGTCTACAGGACAACATGTCGTCGCGAATTGTCTCTGCACAGATTGGCTCTGTCTCTGTTTTGCGGCGGAAGAATAACACGAATCTTAACTTGTTGGTGACAATACAACGTAAGCAAGGGAGCGTTTATTGAACGATAACAAAAAGTACGATTGTTTTGACGGATAAAGCAGGGCTACATGTTAAATAGGGAAGGCCGTGGGCGGTACGAAGAGCTTTATGTTCAAATGGAGCGTAAAGTGGTGGTTTGGAACACGCTAAGTGGATAATATCCCTTTTCCTGTGACACACTGAACGTCATGAAATGTCATGGAAGCTCGTATAATAAGTCACACGCGAACAGTACGCGGAAAGGATTGCCGGAGGGTACCATCCCGCGACGAAGGATAATAAAATCGTTTTGTCTTCGAGACGGAGTCGTTCAATTTTCTGAATTATGTTACACAAGAAAATGGCCTTTGTCATAGCTCCACGTTATTAAATTGTCGTAGCAATGCTAACTTTGATCGGAGAATTGTCGAACTGAATGTTTCGTTGACCGATTGTTGATCGCTCGATCGCATTTTGTACACAAATTTGTATCTGAGCAGAAAGAATTGTGACAATTACATGGTTTTGAGAATAGTTCTTTCTTCTTTTACTATCTTTATACTAATCTGCTTGTACTTCTAGCATGGTTAATGGGTTATATATGTAATAAATATTATGAGAATTCGAAATGCGCTAATATAATTGTAAAAACAATAGAACTACGCTTGCAAAATTATGTAACAATTCCGTAAAGTACTAGTATTTTAAGTATTTTAAGTATTAAAATTTAAACGTTATTTAAATTTAAATAAAATTAAATGAAATCATTGCCAATCATTAAAAATATTCAACATAAACTATCAAGATGGATGGTGGATCGCGTAGTTTAAAATGGTGACAGCTTAAGAAGCCGCGAACCATCCGTTCTAAACATTTCTGTTTTCTGATGAAATAATCGGTGATATAATAGCTTAATCTTCCAAAAAAATCATGTGTCCGACAACCAAGACACGGATATACGTTGTTATGCAATGGAACATTTGTAATACGAAACTTCGAGCAATGCACATATATCCTTGCAAGACTTAATTTCTGCGACAACAAATAAAGAATTGACAGAAATTTCAGTGTAAATGGAAAATTACGCTCTGAATGCATTACTGCTAATTTCCTTTCCACTTATTTCTTGTATTTCGATCAATGTTAATATTATTTTAACAAAAATAATCGGTAGTAGATGTCGCTGTAACTGTACAGAAATTAACGTGATTCTTAAATCATGATTATCATTAACTTATTTTTTAACGAAAGTAAAAATCTTATTTTACATAGTTATCAGTTTATGTTACTTAGGGTGTTGTGGGTTTGCGTATAAACGAAAATATTTCCTTCATCTCGGATCACAATCACAATTTCATTTTCGCTACGCATTGCTTATTGCAGGTCGCATTTAACGTACTTAGCGACATCGTGAGTCCCTGACACATCTTCCGGTGATTATATTCTACTCGGTAAATATCTTGTACCTATTTCCTAGCTTATCCCTTTGCACTCGGATGTCCCCTATCAGTGGAGATAACAAATTTTTCCTTTCGAACCATAGTTCGAACCATATGCGAACCATAGTTCGCGACAATACAATCTTATATGAAATTCTATTTAAATAAAGCAATTACCTCCAACGTTGTATCATCCTCTGCTTTATTGGAGCGATACTACTTTGTGAATAAACACCTCCGAGTTTTTGACAACTAAGAAAATTCTAGTGCAAAGTTTCAAAGATTATTAGACGACATTAAATAACTCATAAAATATTTGTTGTACGAAAAAAAAATTCAGATATAAGTTGCATGGTATCCAGGGATACATATAGTACTGTAATCAGTTTTACGTTATTTTACTTTTTTAGCAAGATATGAAGGTCACCTTCAATTTTTAAAATAGAATGGTTAATATTTCTTCCCAAATTCGGATAAAGCGTTGAATTCTACATGAAAAAGTGTTACAACTTATATATAAACGGTATATATTACAATATACTATATATNATATTTCCTTCATCTCGGATCACAATCACAATTTCATTTTCGCTACGCATTGCTTATTGCAGGTCGCATTTAACGTACTTAGCGACATCGTGAGTCCCTGACACATCTTCCGGTGATTATATTCTACTCGGTAAATATCTTGTACCTATTTCCTAGCTTATCCCTTTGCACTCGGATGTCCCCTATCAGTGGAGATAACAAATTTTTCCTTTCGAACCATAGTTCGAACCATATGCGAACCATAGTTCGCGACAATACAATCTTATATGAAATTCTATTTAAATAAAGCAATTACCTCCAACGTTGTATCATCCTCTGCTTTATTGGAGCGATACTACTTTGTGAATAAACACCTCCGAGTTTTTGACAACTAAGAAAATTCTAGTGCAAAGTTTCAAAGATTATTAGACGACATTAAATAACTCATAAAATATTTGTTGTACGAAAAAAAAATTCAGATATAAGTTGCATGGTATCCAGGGATACATATAGTACTGTAATCAGTTTTACGTTATTTTACTTTTTTAGCAAGATATGAAGGTCACCTTCAATTTTTAAAATAGAATGGTTAATATTTCTTCCCAAATTCGGATAAAGCGTTGAATTCTACATGAAAAAGTGTTACATTAAATAGGGTCTAAAATAAATAGTTACTGAGATATTAACAAAATAAGTTTCATTTGGTCCCTAAAGGAAATAGTCGAGCGGCGTTAAATCTGACGAGCGAGCTGGCCAAGCAACGATATTACTAGCACGTCCGATTTAACGGAACTTGGAGATATTCTGTTTAATACTTAATTATATTATTAATAATATTATAATATTAATAATATATAATATTAATAATTATAATATTAATTAATTATATTATTACATTTATTATGATATTTCTTAATTTTATTTCTATTAAAAAAATATATATAAGAATAATGATTGAACAATGGTTGGAATAGCGATACGTTCGATATCATTTGCCATCTTCATGCTGCAGGAGCATTCACGTCAACGGTAACACGGAATTAAATTCAGATCGAACAAACAGCTCAGTGATTTTATTAACGTAACAGCTAATTTGATAATTATTAATCGAGCAAACGATTCATACAGAATTCAGGTTTAAGGAAGAAGCAAATTCATCTCTTTGTCACTCATTCGTCCATCGAGTTATCAAGTAACCTTTTTCAAGTTTTCTAATTAATATAAATTTAATTAATATAAATATGTTAACTCATTTTTGCAGTCGTGATGTACAATCGTACTTCTTTTTCAGATTATTCGATTAACTATACATGAACTATATGTGCTACTATATCCGCATAGCATTTGGACGCATCGTTTATTAATCTTATGCGTGCCGACAATTATTAGAAAATGAAGGATAACATCGAAAAATAAATGCAAACGGAATAATGCGGATAAAATTAAACACTCTACAAGTATTATTGTTCCTCTTCATTTTTCAAGCAGGTAAGACTTGCAATGTAGATACCGTACTTGTCGATCGTAGAGAATATAGACCACGTTTTGTACGAGTAAGGCTAAAGCAGCAAACGAGTATTATCACTGGCAGGATAAATGAACCGACTTGTTATCCAAAATGTTTCTGTTATCTACAGATCTTGGATCATCAGATCGGCGGACTTTTTATTTTAGATCGGAGCTTAAACATTTTATTACATATTAATAAGTGACAGAAATGATGTTTATAGAAGCCGTTGATGATGACCAGGAGATATGTAATTGCTCCGGTATCATTTTCTTTTCGTTTTTTTTTCTCGCAAACTTATTGTTAGTTTATTAATTTTTGTAACAACAGTATTGTACAATAGTATTGAATTTTCTATACAAAAATTTGTTGATTACGTATTACTAGAGTTTTCAAAGAACAATTTCTTTACAGTTATTCGAAATATATTAAAATAATATAAATAAAAAATTCTAATACCATGTTCGTTGTTAACAGACTCGAAAGCAATCAAATGTTACCAATGCAATAGTAGGAAGGACGATGACTGCACGCAGAACAAAGTAGATATTAAATATTTGAAACCGTGTCCACTGTCGCATCGATATTGTCGCAAAGCCATTTCCATATGTGAGAATAATTTGACTCTACGTAAACATTAGAGAATACAATTTTTCATTTTTTCAATTCGATTCTCCGAAATGAAAAATTGTACACTATTGTAATTTCCACAATGTTCCGTCATATTGTTATCTATTGGACCATTTTCACAGCAATAGAACAATTAACCCTTTACACTCGAAGGGTGACTCTAAGGCACCATCAAAAATTGTTTCATCGCGCTCCAAAATAATTTTATATTATATAATATTTACATTCAAATTGTTCACATTTAAAGAACTGTCAAAAGTGTTGTATGCGTCACAAGACTCAACTCAATCTGCATAAAATGCACTAATTATAAGACACAGAAAATGGAAATATTATAATTCAGAGAAACTATTTCGGATTTCGAGTCGAAATGTCTCCGAGTGCAAAGGGTTAAATCTATAAAATGCGGAACGGATGAAACAATTGCCAGGCAGATATTTCTGACAATTAAAATTAGTTTTCCTTTAAAGCTTAATGTCTATGAGATCACACGTTGATATTCACGTTGGATCGATTATAAATAATTGTCAGTATGTATCAAAATGACTCCCAACTCCCGTCGCACCATAGTTAAACTATTTTATGACGTGTGGACCAGTAATTCTGCGTTATTGCCAATAACTTTACGGATTTCCAGATTATTTTATGGAGTCTCGGGAATACATAACAGTACGCGAGTGCGCAAGATGGCGGAACACCGACAAACCGTGTTACAGGGGTCGTTATTCGCGCGACAGTTATCAACTTGTTTGCGAATGTTACGGGACAGGGTGCAATCGATCTGCGAGGCATTTCTCGAACATGAGCATATTCCTTTACGTCCTGTGCCAACTGGTAATCCTCCTGGGCCTAAGTCCTACGTGATCTACTGAATTTTTAAGTTAATAATGTTGTAAGAGAATTGTTCAATCGGATCATCGGGCTGCATGTCGTTCGGTCCCAGTATGCATGAAATGTACAAAGTGGGAACAATGCGTTCAAGTATGATCCAATTAAGATGTAAATAAAAGCAATATCTCTGTATATTATTAAACTTTGATGTTTACGATAAAACAAGCCGTGCAGGTCCTCCAAAAAACGTAACACAGGCAAGAATTATATGCGCTATTTTCGCGAACAATAGGATTGAAGTAGCGAATTGCGATACGAATTATGTTTCTGTTTTGCTTTCTTAAGTATAGCTCCTATTTCTATAGATTTATAAGTTACTTTATTGAATTACTGTAAGTCGCGATTTCCTCTGACTATTTCACTGTCTGCTAGAAAAGAAAAAGCAATAATAATGTATAATTTTCTCAGTTAAATAAATGATTCAATGATTCGAATAATTTAGTTTCCTGTTCGTAGAAATTTATCGAAGTATTGTTATTTGACGTAGGATGTGTTAAACCAATTAAAACGACTGGTTACCTGATTTTTCATTTCCATTTTCGGATATTACAAAAATGTATCGATGAGAGAAATATTTAAATAATCTTCTTTATTCAGATATAGATTTATAACAAAAATCGTGAAGTTTAAATAAATCCGATCTTGTCATTGTTATAAAACAATACATATTAGTAGCGTTAGTGTATTATATTGTAACATATTTTTTACATGATCTATGAGTTGGGAAAAAATATTGCTGAATAAGGGAATCGTAATTTCATGTAATTGTGTCTTGTAAAAATTCAATATTCAAAGTCGGTGTATTCGAATTTGCATATTCAATATTCAAAATAGCAAGTACGGCCAGGACTGTATGAAAAATTCAAAAAGGGAGATCTGCATTTACAATAAATTTCATTTGTTTTTGCACGTATATATTTATGCGATCGATATCTACAGTCACGCGGTTTTTAATTGATTACAGAATCTTTCCATGGCCAGTAAATGATTCTCTCCGACAATTTACGGCGAGAGCTAAACGATATCCTATATTTCATAAAATTCTAGGAAATGGGTAAGGAGTGTCGTTGGTTTTTTATCGGATATAAAATGGCTTTTTTTATACGCGTTGGCCATCGGCCAATCGAAGTTATACATATTAGTTGGGAACTACTGGCTCGACTAAATCTCGTATGGAAACAGCGAACACAATGAAAGTGAGACATTTGTTGATTATTCATTTATATATGTAAGTGGCGAATGTTTTTGACCCGCACATCTTGAACACATATATTTTTTCAAGTCAATTACGGGAAGTGCGTACCTCAATTTAAATTATAACATATATTTATTGCGATACATACATCTGCAATATTTATTTTACATTAATGCATCGTTATTAATCGTGTTTAACATATTCATTGCATTATTGTACAATTCATTTACGTACAAAGGTAAACAGTAATAAGACTCGTTGTTCACAATGTTCTTATCATGAAATTTTAAAAATTGTTATCTCACTATTTTACATTATTGTATCGCAGAGAATCATTTTTATTTATATTTATTTAAATTATTGTGCCTTCCTAAATACCGAATCAGCGAATTCCGTATCGAAAGATCGAAATAATTTCCGTTGTATTTTAAGAACTACTTAAATAATGAATTGAATTTAAATAAAATAATTTGACATGTCACACGATAAACATGAACTTAATTATGCTTGCAAATAAACAAAAGGTACAGTAATTGGCTACTCTACAGTAACAGGCTCTACTACCCTAGTATTGTTACCAACACTCAAGGTATCTTTGCCTTTTCATTAAAAAGGACACATTTTTAGGAAACCTACATTTTATTGAATCCGTGATTTATTAACTTTTGAAATTTCACAAATTGCTACAAAAATGATGTACAATTTTACACTGTGTACCTGGTACATTGCATTAATTGTGTATTTCTAGGCATTTCAAGGTATTTATAGGTATTTACAGGTATTTGTAAGTACTTATAGGTACTTGTAGGTATTTATAGGTACTTGTAGGTATTTGTAGATATTTATAGGTATTTATAGGTATGTATAGGTATTTATAGATATTTATAGGTACTTGTAGGTATTTGTATGTATCTATAGGCTTTTATAACTACGGCATCACATGTTCAACAATTTTGCGCAACGACTACACTAGATTCTGCATCGCGCACGTCACTTTCGCCCTTCTCTTATACCTTTGATCTTGGTCACGCCCAGAAATCGCCAAGTTCCCCCGTTCATTTCGCGAACAGTCTAACGTTAATTAAAAGACAGTCGGTGTTCCCCATGCGCGGGTCCGGTCGCCGCAGAATCCCAGCGAAGTTAACGAGAACAATCGTCGAACAGACGTTCTTCCGACCGACTGCCCACGTCATCCTTATTGTTAGACGTACCCGGCGTTGTTATTCGAAGGGAGGATCCCGCGGGTACGACACCGGCTGATTTATCAGCACGAGAAAAGTTTCTTTCCAGGGTTCTTAATGTCTTCCGCGATATGACATCCCCCTCGAAAACAGGATATTTCCCACTCGGCGAACGGTCTCGCGCACGCAAACTGATCCGAACGATGGTCTGAATCGCGTTGACGCGGCCACACAGTGGAACGGTCCCAGTAAGTGGTTATCCTGGTTGCGTAAATGCCGAGAGGCCTTAAGGAAATAGGGGACAACGGGACGATTCGTCGGATGGAATGCCTCGTAAAGCCTTTCGCATCCCGCCGCCTTCGATAATAACGTAACAGAATGCCAGCCGCGTCCAGAATTCGCAAATGTCGGTGATGCACGGCCGCGCTTCCTCGTCCTTTATCACTCGCAACAGCGTCTCCGACCCGTCTTCGTCGACGGTATTATTACTATTTGGGTCGCGGCAATGTGGCGCCCGGTATCCTGACGCTCTCCGGACACTTTTTACCCGCTACGCGTTCATTATTGCGCGCCGCGGACTCATGCCTTTGAACCAGACCGGGTCCAGAGCTGTTCAACGTGCCACCGGCTTCGGCAGAACCTTCAGAAATTGCTGGGCAGGATCGATTCTCTTCTTATTGAAACTTCGAAGAAATTTCCCTCGCAACTTCAACGCTGCCCCAGAAATTCTAATGGCAGCTGCGACTCCCGGCTTAGCCACCGACGACGCTGAAATAACAACCGGAGCGAAATGGCACGTTTCGTTCGATGTTTTGTAATATGTCAACCGTTTACAAGATGGTCATCATCATCTCGTCGGTGTCTGGAGTCTTTTTTCATCGGTGTTCGCGTTGTTCTCTTCATCGAATTTTCTGGAGACCTCGAAACGCGGTCGAAATTGGTACGTATTTTCATAAAATCGATGTCTCGAATGCACGAATGTACGAAAATTTTATTATTTGTTGTATTCGTTATCGGACTTGCCCTCGTAAATGTCGATTTTATTTTCGTTGGAACGGGAGATTCGCGCTAGAAACTTGGATGTTTCAAACGAGGCTTTTATGAATACTTGTTCGTCATGTTATCGTTGGACCCGAATTCGCGAATATCGATTTCCTTTTCATTGAGAAGTTAACTGTGCGACGGGAACGGTATCATTTGTGGACGAAATCGACGGTTCGAAATAATTCCTCGTTTATGTTACTCGTTCCTCGATTGAAACAATATAATTTCGGCATTATTCTAACAAAATTACAGCGGCAACTGGGCCGCATGGATGTGCAGAAATAAATAACTAAAAACAATGGAACACTGTTGTTTATAATTACCGTTTCAATTCTGATAAAATTGATATTTTGAATACGCGAGCAACCATGGTATTATCCACTGTTCGTGTCACTGGATCTGGGATCGTGGATTTCGATTTTCTGCTGATTGAAACTTCGAAGAAATTTTACTCGGAACTTGGACGTTGCCCTAGAAATGGCAACCGGTAACTGTGTAACTGTGGGTTTAGCGACTGTTTCCGCAGAAATGATAATCACAGTGGATTACTCTGTTTTGTAAAAGGTGCTCCACTTTTGCGGAAATCGATGTTCGAAAATTAAACTCCTCGAAAACTGGGGACGGGGATGGGGGTGTAGTGGACAGAAACGATTTTCGGATGCACATATTTGATTATCGAAACGGAAAATTGTTGGTGGATAGCATAATCGGAAAGTGGAACACGATTTTCTATGAATATTGTTTTCTATTTTCGTTGAAATCGATTCTGCGAATATCTAGGTGTCGCGATAGTATTATCTGTTGTTTGTATCGTTGGTCTTGCGATTGTAAATATCGATTAAGTATAGCCCGTTTATTAACGCAGGCTCGTAGGAGAGGGCGAGATTGATGAGAAACGGATAATGGTGTACTGCGGTCAATGCTTACAAGCAGAAGCAGTGAGTAATGTTCAGACGCGCTCCGAAGTGCGCCCAGCAGTCTGCGTACTGAAGAAATTTTCCTAAAGATTCCATTTTTCACACGTAAACATTACTTTTGGATTTTCATCATTTCTTGAAACAAGATAAATTGTGCTGATTAAACGTTATTGTTTAAAGTTTTGTTTTAAATATACGTACAATCGAGAGACTAGTTAACATAATTCCAAACTATACAGGATGTCCCGTAATCATGTAAACACCCGGAAAGGGGTGATTCCTGAGGTCATTTGAAGTAACTTTTTCCTTTGCGAAAATGCAATCCGCGGCTCTGTTTACGAGTTATTAACGAAAAACGCTGGACCAATCAGAGGCGAGCAAGGCTGGCGGTAAGCGGCAGAGCCAACGAGTGGTCGAATTCCAGTTCCGCTGATTGGCTCGGCCGCCTCGCGCCAGCCGAGCTCGTTTCTCATTGGTCAGTGTTTTTCGTTAATAACTCGTAAACAAAGCCTCGTAGAACATTTTTGCTAAAAAGAAAGTTACTTCAAATGAGCTCAGGAATAATATTAACCCCTCTCTGGGTATTTACATATAATTATTGGATTCCCTGTATAAATACCCCTCTCGGAAACTATA